TTTTGCACAGACATGATTGATTGCCTCATTGGTTACTTGGAATCAACTCAATCTTCATTCCCAACTCCTCGCCCCCCGGAGGTTGGGGGTGACACATTCCCCCTGGGCTTTAGTTAGTGTTTCAGTTATGTTTTATACTGCAGTGATAAAATACCATAACCAAAAGCAACTTGGGGAGGAAAGGGTTATTTCCACTTACAACCGTCACTGAGGGAAATCAAGGCAGGGATTGCGGCAGAGGCCATGGAGGGGAGGTGTGCCGCTTGCTGGCTTGCTGGCTTGCTCCCCTGGATTGTTCAGATAGCTTTCCTTTTTGTGTTTGTTCGTTTGTTTGTTTGAGACAGGATTTCTTGTGTAGCTTTGGAGGCTGCCCTGGAACTCACTCTGTTGACTCAGAGATCTGCCTGCCTCTGCCTCCCAAGTGCCGGGATTAAAGGTGTGCGCCACCACCCAGCCAGACAGTATCCTTCCTTCCTTCCTTCCTTCTTTTCTTTGTTTTGCTTTGTTTTTCAAGACAGGATTTCTCTGTGTAGCTTTGGAGCCTATCCTGGTACTCACTCTGTAGCCCAGGCTGGCCTCGAACTCACAAAGATCCACCTGCCTCTGCCTCCCGAGTGCACCACCACCGCCTGGCTTTCTTCCTTTCTTTTTTTAATATTTATTTATTGCATGCACACCTGAAGGCCAGAAAAGGGCACCAGGTCTCATTATAGATGATTGGGAGCCACCATATGGTTGCTGGGAATTGAACTCAGGACCTCTGGAAGAGCATTCAGTGCTCTTAACCTCTGAGCCATCTCTCCAGCCCCCAGACAGCTTTCTTATGCAACTCAGGACCACCTGCCCAGTGTGACACTACCCAAGACACATCAATTGTTAGTTAAGAAATACCCACAGGCTTGCCCACAGGCCAACCTTGTAGAAACAATTGTGGTTCCCTCTTCTCAAAAAACATCTAGCTATGTCGAGTTCATAAAACACTTGCCAGCACAGGCCCAGTTTAAAGTTCAAGGTCTCCAATCATACTGGGTTTGCTGAGCAGGTCCACATCCTGAAGCCCCCAGACACTCAAGTAACTCTAGAGAGTCCAGTGGCTTAGGGCTCTGTTCCAGGAAACAGGGACTGAAACCAAATACACATTTCTTATTATATATCACAGAATCACATACAACCCAGTTCAGAAATCGGCAAAGTGGTTGGGACAATTTACAAAGAATATTCACAGATGGCAAATCGGCATTTGGAAGGTTGCACAAAAACCTGACCCCATTGACATGCCTCCTCCAAATAGGCCACACCCCCTAACCTTCCTGGAATTGATCCATGGACTAGGAATCACGCATTCAAACATATGAGCTTATGGGGTCCACTATCATCCAAACCATCACAACATCGTTTGAGGAGATTTCAAGTTCAATCAAACTGGAAACAAGATGCTACAACTACACACCCATTAGAGGAGCCGAACACTCTTTAACCAACAAAGACAAACATTGGGTTTGCAAAGCAACAGGACTCTCATACACTCATAAAACAGTGCGGCTACCACGGCATTTTCTTATATAGCTAAACACAACCTTCTCAAACAATTCAACAGTCACATTCCTAGGCAATTATGTCTATATATAAACCTGCACACTAGACTATGGCTGCTCTTCCCCTGCGTCTTCCCCACTCAGTCCGACCTGTGTAAGTCCTGGTTACTGTCATGGTGAGAACCAGAGACTCTGGGGTTGCAAGCCAGGGATTTGCTCCTGGCCATAACACGACAGGCCCGGAGCCTCTATTACTGTCGGGTTCTAGCAGGTGAGCAAATTCCCCCAGGAGTCCCTGTCCCATTTATCCTCCAGTTTGGCTGAAGTGGGAGCAATATTCTCTGGTATTACACTGGGGGACAGACAGCTGGTTCTGCAAATCCAGATTGGCGACACAGAGCAACAAACTGGTCCTAAAGCTGGAGTCAGCGATGGTTTCCAGTCTGGCAGTCCCTCCTGCTCGGCTCAGCCCTGACCTTCAGATGATTTGCTTCTGGGTCCTGAGACCTCTCCCTTCCTGGGTGCACCTGCCCCCTTTATGCCTCTGATGGTGAGCTCACAGATGGTCCTTCTAAAGACCCTGCGTCCCTGTGAACCCCTCTCCTGGGCTCCAGTGCAGCATGCCCCTCAGGTGGCTCTGATCTGGAGATGCCTGTGGAGCAGGTATGGATGGGAACTCCATGCCCTGAGGATCTCTGAGCTACCAATGCTGGCTGGAAGTTGACCTGGTGCTGGGCAGAGGACTCTGTGCTCAGTGTCTTGAAGGCACAATGGGATGTGTACACGGAGCATCTGGTGACTTCTCCCAGATGTTCAGTACTTGGCTCCTAGAAGTGATGCTGATCCTAACCCCACCCAAACTTGTGTTTAACTAATTAAACTTTACTGCTTTTCCTTAAAAGCAAACAGCAACAACAACAAAACCTGTACACAAATATATAGTAAAGGTTTATGCACAACCAACAAAAACCAGAAGCAACCAAAACGTCCTTCAACAGCACAATGTAAAAATCAATAGCTATACAATGGAATATTACTTGGCAGTAAAAAGAAACGAGTTATTAAGCCAAGACAGACATAAAGGAATTGTACATGCATATTATTACGTAAAAGAATCCAACCTAGAAAGACCGTACACCATATGGTTTCAATTCTATGACATTTCAAATGAGATATATATGTTACATGGGCTTGACAACCGGACTTTCATCCCTGGAGCCTATGGAGGAAGAGGACAACTCCTGAAAGTTGTCCTCTGACCTCCATACATAAACATATACACACAATAAAGTAAGTGTAAAAACTAAATCATCTGTTGGGAAGAATGCAGACTCTGAAAAAGGCCCCCGACTATACGCAAATGCAGGAAAGAGCTCTGCCGAAAGGAAGGAAGAGAGAAAGAGAGAGAGAGAGAGAGAGAGAGAGAGAGAGAGAGAGAGGTGCTGACCTAATAATTCCAGAAATAAGTGGGCTCGCTAAGGCTGTAGGGAAAATGAGCACGGTCCTCCAGTGGACAGACTTCTTCCCAGTGAGTGTGATGACACAGCGAATGCTCGCTAGGATTGAACGGTTAAGTCAATGCAGGTGGACAGCAGGAGCCAGGTTTCTTAATACAGAAGTGGCCATTTACAAACAAGCCACGGGAAGTGGTTAGACTGGTCCCTGTAGTGATGCATTAGAGCTGGAGACATCTCAAGAACTCATGTGTGCTTTTATAAATGGTTACAGACAGTTCTACATAACAATTGTTTTGGTTTGATTTTTTTTTTTTTTTTCAAGACAGGGTTTCTCTGTGTAGCCCTGGCTGTCCTGGAACTCACTATGTAGACCAGACTGGCCTTGAACTCACAGATATCTGCTTGTCTTTGCCTCCCAAGTTGTGTGATTAAAGACATGTGTCACCACTGTCTAGCTTCTACATAACGTTTCTTATAGATTGTGCATGTGTGTATGTGTGTGTGTGGTATGTGTATGTGTACGTGTAATGTGTGTGTGGTATGTATGACGTGTATTGTGTAGTGTGTATTCATGGTGTATGTGTATGTGTGTGTGGTTTGTGATGTGTGTGTGGTGTATGTGTGATGGGTGTCTATGTGTGTAGTGTGTTTGTATGGTGTGTGCGTGTATGCGTGTGTGGCGTGCATGTGTGGTGTGTAGTCACATTTCCATCTATATTTCTTGGCTCTGTCAAGTGCGTTACATTCCCTTCCTTCAAAGGGGTAATTTATGCACATCCAGCATGGCCACAGTCAATAGCATGGATGACAAGATAATCTAGGAGGGTCTGGAGGCCTGCCCAGCAATGCTTCAGATACTCTAAAAGTAAGGAACCACCAGAAGTGGCCCGCTGGTCCAAAGTTAAGTTCAATCCAACAGGCCTGGCACATAGTATTTCATTAACTCTAGGGGGTGCACTGGGACCCACACTGATTTGACACAACTGGCTCAGTAAAGCCCAGCACCCTTGGTAGAGATGCAAATATGTGACATGGAGGTAAGTCAAAAGCATTTCACACTAAGCCCCAAGCCTACTGTGGTGACAAACCACAGTACTCCTGTCTCACCCCAGAAAAGGAACCTGTGTGCCGCCTGGAACAACTCCCTTAGCTGGCACTCCAGCTCCAGGAGTGAGTCCCCTGAGCCAGGGTGCTAAGACCATGTGGGTCCTGCCGTGGGTCAGGGGTGACCCACGATCCTTGGCTTCATCGCCCCACGGGACTTTGAGACAGTCATGTGAGCTCTCTGACCACCATAAACGGGACTCCTTCTTCAAACGGTGGCAAGGGAAACCCCAGGAGATGTCCAAGTGTCACGTCCTCAGATCTAGAGATGGGATTCCCTGACACACGGGGGTCCCTGACTGTGACAGTCTACTGAACTTTTACCAACTCGTGTTGCTATGTAGCCAAGCGTAACCTTGAACCTGCGTCCTCCTGCCTCTGCTTCCCAAGTTCTGAAATTCCTTTCAAATATTTACTCCAAAGCCCGTGAAAAGAGACTCCCCTTGTTGAATCAAAGAAAATTTCAAACTATATAAAACCCTTATGCTCTGTTCATCTACAAGAGAAGTCAGTGTTTTTCAAGAACCAACTTTGGCAAAAGCTCTTCGGGACCCTCAGTCATCTTTAGATGGGAAAGTGGGTACAGAGATCAGACATTTGGGAACCGCTGTGCTTCACTTAGGAACCGGGTGTGCTGTCGCCCAGGAGGCGAGCGTCCCTAGAAAGTCTACCGCCGCGGTTAAGTCCCGGCGGCCGACTGCCCTGCCAGTCGGCCCAGCAACGTTTGTACCCATTGACCGGGTCCATGCAAAGCCCTCCCGCTGGGAGGCAGCAGCCGCGGCAGCTGCAGCGACCTTGGCAGAGGTCAAGCGCGGAAGGCGCAGAGGCTGCGGGCTCGAGTGCCCGTGCAGGCCCAAGGGATCGCGCCTTCACCGCGCGGCGGGGACTGGGGACCTGAACTCACAGCCTGGGCAGCGCCGCCGCTCCGCGTACGGCGTTCCGCAGCACACACAGCGCCATCTTCCCGACGTGATCCGCCCCGCCCCGCCCCGCCCCCTGCCCCGCCCCGCCCCGCCCCCTGCCCCGCCCTTCTTCCCAGTGCCACACCCCGCCCCGCTGGCCACGCCCCTCCTCGGCCGGTCTATTGCCCCGGGCCCTCACTACCGAGTACCCCGGGCTTCCTCCTTTCTCAGCGCTCGCGTGGGGACGCGTTGGTGACCCAACCCGACTCTCACCGAGCTTCTGATGCGACTTGGGAAAACATGGGTTTCCCTAGGCGGCACAGACTCAGATTTCCGCGTTTGTTTGTTGCTTGTTTTCTGGTTTTGTTCCTGCAAAGGCGCTCAGCAGGGCAGGCTGGGGACTCCACACATGCCTGCCCCCACCCCCCGCGGGCCGGGCTTCCAGAAGCCGAGAGAAGCTCGGTTCCAGCAGGCGGCGGCCGTGCCCTCCCGCCCCGCTGGGTCCCCTGATCCAAGGCGCCCACCTACTGTCTGCCCCTCTGCCGCTCCTGTCTTCAGGTCTACACTTTTGTTTCCAGTTGTCCCTCGGTTCCGTTAGTTCTGAATTTACACCTGGTGGGAAGAAGCCGCCCCCACCCACCCCGTGCAGCGCAGAGGCCCCCACACCCACCCCGGGCCTCTCCAGCCTGCGTGCGGCCCGGGCCTGTGCCCTTTCCAGCCGCGTCAGAGCTCGAGGCAAAGGAAGTATCTGAAACCCTCACCCCTACATCTGATTTACACGTCGATGTTTGGTTCTGAGGCAGGCCTCGTCTCCGGATGTCTCTACGGCCCGCATGCACGTGATTTAGACGCCTTTTTAAATAATATGCCCGGGAGTAGAATTTAGGGCCATATAACCATGCCAGGCGAGCTACACCCCGGCCCCAGACTGCCAAAACCTTAGAGTTGCAGTTCACAAAAACAGGCATGCCAGATAGAAAGAAGCGAGCGCGGTACATTTTTCACTACATGGCCTTGCAATTATCATGAAAACTGGATTAATTTCACTGTTTGTTTCTGGGTTTTGCATTAGTTTCCACACGGATACGTCCATGCTCCTAGGACCGGTCGGCTGGAAATACCTGATCAGCCTCGCTGTTTGCTGAAACATTTAAACAGCGTTCCAGTGGTAAAGGGCAGACCCATTAGGAAAATGAAGCCCTTCATCCTTCGTTTAGGAACCCCAAAGGCTCTTTATCACAAGCCATTCTTCCCTTCCTTTTGCTGTCTGGCCGGATGCAGGGTTTTTCTCACCAAAGTTGAGTCTCAAAGGCTGTGCAGCTAGTGTCACTGGTCTCAAACTTCAGAATGGCGCACTTAGAAAGGGGCCTATTAGAAGTTCTGTGGAACGGTTTTTAAGCAGCGGCACAGATAGAACTTGGCTGAGATCATTGCTGCCTCCTGCTGCTAAGATACAAAACCCTCCCAGCCGCGCTCCCGGGCCGCGCTGCCTTTGATAAGGGTGATGGCTGCGTCTGGCTCCTTGGGGAGAGAGGAAGAGACGTCTCTTAGATTTAGGCCAAATGCAGAATAACTAACGGCCGCGTCGTGAGCCTGCCGGGCTTCAGCTCCCTCTCTTTAAGCTGAGGAAGTTAGACTACATAACCTTCAAAATATCCTTTGGCTCCGGAAGGCCTGGATGGAATCTGATTTTATGACTTCATGGTTTTCCAATCTCGACGGCGGCCAAACTGCGCTACAGCGCCCCCCACCCCAGGACCAAAAGGCCGGTGCCGCCCCAGCCCTTCTAGTATTTATCTGTCTAGTATTTATCTGGGTTTTCGGGACACGGCCTTCTTATATAGCCCAGGCTAACCTCTTGCTCGTTGTGTGGTTGAAGGCTGCCTGCACCTTCCCCAGTGTTGGGATTACAAGTTGGTTTTATGAAGCGCTGGCGATTGAACCCAGGGCGTGCACATACTAGGCAAGTACTCTGCCGAATGAGCTACTTTCGGAGCCTCAGTGTCTGGATTTCCAAGTGTGGGTCGGCCTTCAAAGATGTACGCGTCCTAACTGCTGGAATCTGAGTGTGTCACTCGGCAGATGTGATGAAGGATCTTGAGATGGGAGACTACTGTGGGTCATGGCGGTGGGATGGGGGGTTCCAATGTCATCATAAGCGTCCCTATCACAAGGAGGCAGGGGCATCAAATCACAGTGCAGACAGGAGACATGTGAGCACAATGGGCCTGGAGAGGAACTGTCAAGGCAGCCGAACACTTCTTCCCTTCAGGGCCCAGAAAGAAATGCAGCCAATGCGGCCAATGTGGCCTGCTAAAACCTCCAACTTCTCACCATGGAGCTATCTGAACTCCCGGCCTCTAGAACTGTAAGATAATACTTGTTTTGAGACCCTAACTTTGCAGTAATGGGTTGCAGAAGCAAAAGGATCCTGAAGTACCTATTAAAATCAAACTTTAAGGCCAGGCATTGGTGGGCAAGCCTTTAATCCCAGCACCCAGAGAGGCAGAGGCAGGCAGATCTCTGTGAGTTCGAGGACAGCCTGGTCTACAGGAGGAGTTTCAGGGCAGGCTCCAAAGCAATACAGAGAAACTCTAAGAGTTCCTTTAAGGCATGTGGAGGGTTTTGGGACAGAGGTCAGTGGGTGAAATGTTTTCCTAGCATGCGTGAGGCCCTGGGTTCCATGCCCAGTTTTGCATGGAGTGGATATGATGTCACATGACTGTTATCCTAGCACTTAAGAGGTGGGGCACAAGAGGATCAAGAGTTCAAGACCGGGCCAGAGAGATGGCTCAGGGACTGAGGGCACTAGCTGCTCTTGCAGAGGACAGAGGCATTCATCATATGAGTACCCATAAGATGGCTCACAACTATCTATAATCCAGGTTCAGTGGATCCAATGTCCTCTTCTCACTCTGTGGACCCTAGGCATGCATGTGGTACCCTTAAATACATGCAGGAAAAACATGTACCCTTGCACATAAAACAAATTTAAAAAATTTAAAGAATTCAAAGATAACCTTCAATTACATAGTGAGCTTGAGGCCAGCCTCATAAAAATATACGAGACCTTGTCTCATAACAAGTAAAAATAAATTTCAAAGGGGCTGGACATTGTGGTGTAGTCCCAGCATTCTGGAGACAGAGGCAGGCTACTGAGTCCAGCCTGGTCTACATAGTGGGTTTCAGGCCAGCCAGGGCTACACAGTCAGATGCTGCGTGAGATGGCCACTTGCCTCACAACCCTCAATACTTGAGTTCAATTTCTGGGACCCACAGGGCATCAGGAGAAAACTGACCTCCACGTTACATGTGCTGTGGCATGTGTTTCCCCAACCCTCACGCACGATAAGTAAATCATAAAGTCTAGGCCACGCAATGGCAGCAGAGCTTGAAAGAGTAAAAAGCACCATTTCCACTGGAAACCCATAGCGCTCTGCCTGCCTCTGCCTCCTAGGAGCAGGCTCAAGGGGGTGTGCCACCATTCCTGGCCCTGTCAAGGTATTCTATCATTCAACAGCAATAGTGGTGCTTTCCCACACAATCCTAGCCACTCAGGAGGCCGAAGGAGGATAATTGAAAATTTAAGGACAGACTCAGCAAGTTCAAGGCTAGTCCAGGCAACTTACCCAGCTGCTGTCTCAGAAACCAGAATGAAATTGGGCTGAAGCTGTAAGTTGGTGGTAGAGCATTTGTCTAGCATGCCAAAGCCTTGAGTGTTACAAAAAAATAAAACAAGCCAATATATATGAGTGCAGCTATTGACTGAGAACTCTCTCTGTCCCTCCTCTCCCTCTCTCTCTCTCTCTCTCTCTCTCTCTCTCTCTCTCAGTGTGTGTGTGTGTGTGTGTGTGTGTGTGTTCTATCATTTGTCCATCTACCTAGAAATCTGCACTCATGTAGATTGATATACACACAGAGAGAAAAATAACTAACACATAGCTAGATAAAGAATTCACCTAAGAGAGACAGGCTGCCTTTTGGGGTCGTTTCTCCCCAGACCCCTAACTTCAATTTCGGTGTTTAAGTTTGTCTATAATAAACATCTACTATCGCCTATGCAATACTAAGCAGGATTTTATTAAAGGGAAAAATAGGACCTGGAGAGATGGTTTAGTGGTCAAGAACACTATCTGCTCTGGTAGAGGACCTGCATGGGTCCCTGCACCCATGCAGCCATTAACAACTCCAGTTCTAAAGGATCTGAAGCCAATGTTTGGTCTCTGTGGGCACTGCATGCATTTTGGTGCACATACATACATGCACACAAAACACCCCTACACATAAAAATAAGTAAACATGCTTGGCAACGGTAGTGCAAGTCTTTAATCCCAGCACTAGGGCAGGTGGACCTCTGTGAGTTCAAGACCAGTCTGGTCTACATAGTGAGTTCCAAGTCCCTGTCTCAAAAACAAATAATTAATTAATTAAAAAAATAAATTTGTGTGTGTGTGTGTGAGTTTGCTTTTTGTTTTTGTTTTTTGTTTGTTTGTTTTCTTTCAAGACAGGGTTTCTCTGTGTAGATTTGGAGCCTACCCTGAAACTTCTTTATAGACCAGGTTGGCCTGGAAATCACAGAGATCGGACCGCCTCTACCTCCCAAGTGCTGGGATTAAAGAAATGCACCACCATCACCCAGCATAAATAAAATAAATATTAAAAAAATAGATTTGGCCTTTTGCAAGAAAAAAACATTTTTCAGAGAACATTATGTGTCATCCACCATCGATGGGAATACAGGAATGAATGAAGAAACGGTATTGCCTTTGCTTGATCACAGCAACAAGTCTAAGAAATGCTTTGTTCTTCAGGACAACTGGAAACAAGGCTGAGGGCCCTGGAGACTCCCTGTGCTCACAAGCAGCGCCGAGGCTGTCTTAGTTCGCTGGGTGGGCTTCGCTCCTGGGTCAGGGCCATTTGTACCATGTGGACAGGGCTACAGAGAGTCAGCAAATGGGGATTAAAGAGCAGCTTGGAGCAATAAGATCACATGAGGTCCCAAATATCTCATTTATCAGGATGAATCCAAATTTGACTCCTATTGCTAAAAGGAGAAATAAAAAGCAAGATACATATTTCTTA